GTGCCAGCCTTCACCAGCACCAGCCTCCACCAGCGCCAGCCTCCACCAGCACCAGCCTCCACCAGCTTCAGCCTTCACCAGTGCCAGCCTCCACCAGCGCCAGCCTCCACCAGCACCAGCCTCCACCAGCTTCAGCCTTCACCAGTGCCAGCCTCCACCAGCGCCAGCCTCCACCAGCACCAGCCTCCACCAGCTTCAGCCTTCACCAGTGCCAGCCTCCACCAGCGCCAGCCTCCACCAGCACCAGCCTCCACCAGCTTCAGCCTTCACCAGTGCCAGCCTCCACCAGCGCCAGCCTCCACCAGCACCAGCCTCCACCAGCTTCAGCCTTCACCAGTGCCAGCCTCCACCAGCGCCAGCCTCCACCAGCACCAGCCTCCACCAGCTTCAGCCTTCACCAGTGCCAGCCTCCACCAGCGCCAGCCTCCACCAGCACCAGCCTCCACCAGCTTCAGCCTTCACCAGTGCCAGCCTCCACCAGCGCCAGCCTCCACCAGCACCAGCCTCCACCAGCTTCAGCCTTCACCAGTGCCAGCCTCCACCAGCGCCAGCCTCCACCAGCACCAGCCTCCACCAGCTTCAGCCTTCACCAGTGCCAGCCTCCACCAGCGCCAGCCTCCACCAGCACCAGCCTCCACCAGCTTCAGCCTTCACCAGTGCCAGCCTCCACCAGCGCCAGCCTCCACCAGCACCAGCCTCCACCAGCTTCAGCCTTCACCAGTGCCAGCCTCCACCAGCGCCAGCCTCCACCAGCACCAGCCTCCACCAGCTTCAGCCTTCACCAGTGCCAGCCTCCACCAGCGCCAGCCTCCACCAGCACCAGCCTCCACCAGCTTCAGCCTTCACCAGTGCCAGCCTCCACCAGCGCCAGCCTCCACCAGCACCAGCCTCCACCAGCTTCAGCCTTCACCAGTGCCAGCCTCCACCAGCGCCAGCCTCCACCAGCACCAGCCTCCACCAGCTTCAGCCTTCACCAGTGCCAGCCTCCACCAGCGCCAGCCTCCACCAGCACCAGCCTTCACCAGTGCCAGCCTCCACCAGTGCCAGCCTCCACCAGCGCCAGCCTCCACCAGTGCCAGCCTCCACCAGCTCATTCTCTCTCCTCGGGGAAGTTCCAGTGCCTTCTCACTGGTCTCTGTGAGGCTTAAACAAGAGAGCACAGCTGGAAGCAACCAGCCCAGAGCCTGACTCTCCACTCACCCTCCACATGGCCTCCTCCCTGCTCTGCTCGCTCTTCTCATCTCCCGCTCTTCGGCAGGAGCTACTTCTGATGCCGCCATAATTTGCTGGTTACATAAGTGAATCTTTGCTGGGTGGCGAGTCTCACTTACTGGAGAGGCTCCAGCGAGTCATCTATTATTCACGCCGTCCACAGTCTCTCCAGACAACAGCGATAGAAAGAAAAGCCGCGTGCAAAGAGAGAGAGGGAAGGGACATCCTCAGGAGCAGGCGGCCTGGCACTGCTGCTTCAGAGGCTCAGGGAGCAGGCAGAGCCTTCAGGGTGTCTCTGAAGAGCTTCGCTTCCTGAAGGGCCAAGGTCATCAGCAGAATATGAGGCAGGAAGGGAAGCAGTTCCAGGGCCTGAGCAGCTCTTGGGGCTCATGGTACCAGGCAGAGCCCCAACTCCCAACTGGGGAGCCCCTACTTAGACACTGAGGCGGGGCTGAAAGGAAGACATGTAGGGAGGAAGGACACATGGTCCTGCCTCAGGGAGCCCCAGTCTGAGGGGGACACAGCCCTGTCCTCAGGGAGCCCCAGTCTGAGGAGAGACATGGTCCTGTCCCCAAGGAGCCCCAGTCTGAAGGGGACACAGCCCTGTCCTCAGGGAACCCCAGTCTGAGGGGGAGACACAGCCCTGTCCTCAGGGAGCCCCCATCTGAAGAGAAGATAAAACCTCTGCTCTCAAGCAGCTCCAAGTCTAAAGAAAAAATGTCCCCTCCCAGACTCTGAAAACACACGTTTTTCTGTGAGCAACTGAGTGGATATTTCTATTAATCTTCGTGAGAAACTAGAAACAAAGGTGATATGGTGTCACAGACATGTAGAGGCTCCTCCTAATGCCTGTGGATTGGGGGAGATGCTTGAGGGCGCGTTTGTAAATATCACACTTTTGCGCAGTGGGAATGACCTGTAGTTCCAGCTGATGGCGGCAGATAGAGCACATTCCCTCGGCTGCCCTCCCTCCCGAAGCTCCAAAATGTGAGTGAAGGAATAAACAAAATAGAAACAATTATTAACTCCAAGAAAATTAAAAGTTGTCTAAGAAATAAACTGTTATTATACATGGCTCTTTTCTAAACAGTATTTGTATAATCATAAATGTTAATGTAAGTAGCAAATACCTACTAGTATTTTTAAGCAAAAATGATGATAAAACTCTATCGGGAGACTGTGGGGAGCGTGAGCATGCTGCTGGGGAGTGGTGGGAGTAAGAGCAGCTGCGAAAGCTCAGGCTCCGTTGGGGGGAGTCAATGATAATGTCTCAAAGGAAAAAATCTAGAAAACGCCAATAAGAGAAAAATAAACAGAAGAAAGAGGTGAAGAGTTGAAAGGCTGCCCCTCAGGAGAGAGGCTCCTGGTGGGGCGATGGCAGCTGGACACTGTTCTTCCATGGTATAGACCTATTTATCTAAAACTTGGATAAAAACAAAAATTACTAAGAGCAGCTGCGAAAGCTCAGGCTCCGTTGGGGGGAATCAGTGATAATGTCTCAAAGGAAAAAATCCAGAAAACGCCAATAAGAGAAAAATAAACAGGAGAAAGAGGTGAAGAGTTGAAGGGCTGCCCCTCAGGAGAGAGGCTCCGGGTGGGGAGATGGCAGCTGGACATTGTTCTTCCATGGTATAAACCTATTTATCTAAAACTTGGATAAAAACAAAAATTGCTATCTATAATAATAAAAGCATAATATGCTAATTAGACCGGACGTCCTTCCAGACGACCTTCCGCGAAGCCGGGCAGAACCTGGAGAGCCACCAGGAGCTGTCGCCACAGCCCAGTCAGGGCGTCGAGCATCCTGCCGCCCGTACTGCCCGCAGGGAACGGGGCAATGGCCAGAGATGCGGACTCCGGCCTGGAAATATCGGCCACACATGTCCTCAAAGTGAGCAGTCCATCGGGTCGAATCTGAACTCCTGCCCTTTCAGGCTTTAATATCATCAAGAATAAAATGTGCTTATATCCAGCCCTTTACAATGTATAAAGCTCTTTCACATTTTTATGTGAAATGTCAGCTTTGAGCCTGCCAATCCAATAATACTCTTCTCCTTTAAAAGCCAAAATACGGGGTTTGTAGAATAAAGCAGTTGACTGCACATTGCATCATAATAGGGGATGGGAGATGGGCATATCCATGGCCTCCGCTCTGATGGCACTTGGGGATCACCTGGACAGCTTAAAAATACCCATGCCCACGCCCTCCCTGCTGAATTAGAACTCCTGGGGTGGGACAAAGTTTCCCCGGGTGATTCTGATGCCCAACTCCATGTCCTGCTCCTCAACACACACCCTTCTGTGGCCATGAGGGAAGGCCCGGTCATCACAAGAACAAAGATTCACTTGTCACTCACACAGCCGAGTGTGGGTCCAGACTCCTCTCCTGGGCAGTGGTCCTCCATATGATCCCCTGTTCTCTCAACTCCTTCAATCTGCTGGCTCCTCCTCCTCAGCACAGGCTTCCCGGGTTGCCATGGCAGGAGGCAAAGCACTGAAGGCATTGACTCCTTCACTAAATGCTTCCGTCTCTAAGTGGAGCACATCACTTTCACTTGCAACCAACTGTCCAAATTGAGTTCTGTGACCCCCACCTAATGGCAAGTGTGGGTGTGTGTGCATAGTAGAGGAACAGCTGATGTGGGTATCCTGGAGGTGCTTTCTGCTCCCTGCATGGCCACTCCTATCCCCTCCATTCTCCCTGTCCTTACTCCTTGCCCTTACCCCCTTATAAGGCCTGGCTGAACCCCATCTACTGCTTGAAGCCCTCCTTGGCCACTGCTTTTGCCTGGATCCCCTTGGCCTGGCCAACAGCAGTTCTCACCATCTGTGGGATGTATTTTGGCATTTGTAGTTCATTAGGCATTTTTAGAGTCTTTGCATTTCCTCGATTGCAAATATTTTAATCTCCTGAACTTTGAGCAAAGTAATGAGAGGGATTGCAGTTCTGATCAACAGGGAAGAGTTTAGCGGGGAATTGGGAGGCGTGGGAGCCCGGAGAGGAGGTGAAATGTGAAATGTCAGCTTTGAGCCTGCCACTGCTGGGGGTGGGGGTCCGCGGTGCATGTGAACCCTGGGACTTGCAAAGATTATTTGCAAAACTCCCTCCTCCTGGGAAGCTTAGGCTATAAAAGTGAACAGCAGTTAAGAGATGGGCATCTTGGCAGAAGGCCGGCCTCAGAACTGCTAATCATCTCAGTGAGGGAATAAGAAGCATTGGAAAGGCTACAGGCTGCCTGGGAAGCCCGCCGAGGAGCTTGGGACTTTAAAGGACAGGTACAAACACGGAGTGAAGGACATTGCTCCCTCTCGGCTGCCCTTGCATCTGAGCAGACGGGTCCCTGCAATTGCACACGATGGTCTCTTTCTGCTGATACTGCCATTTATTTATTTATTTATTTATTTATTTATTTATTTATTTATTTATTTATAGCAAACTTAACGCTGTGTACCAGGTACTGCTGCTTTATAAATACTAACTTATTTTTATCTTATTTCAATCCTGTGAGAGTAGCTGTTCCCCTTATTCCTCCTTGTAGATGAGGAAACCGAGGTTAATGAATTTTCTCAAGGTCATCAGTAGCGAGGGGCCGAGCCACTAGCTCTTTCACCACAGAGACATACTGTCATATGCCCAGCAACTAACCACAGCACGCACACAGCAGGCATGCGAGTGCTCTCGGAATGAATGGATGCTGTCTTGTTTCCCTCTGCAACCAGACTGGGTTCAGATCCACTTCCATCACATGTAGATGTGAAACAGGGCCAGTTTTTCACTTCTCTGTACCTTTGTTTTCTCATCAGTGCAGTGGGCTGATCACGGGCCTCGCCAGGGTTTGTAAGGATGACAACAATGCCTGGTACAGAGGAAACAATGGAATGTTAGTGATGTCATTTTACATGCCATGTCTTAGCTCGTCAGACTATAAGCTTTTATAAATCCACATTAACCTTTTTATTTTTTTTCCATTTCTGATGCTGCCTGGAATGTGCTAAGCATATAGTTTTAAATACTATCCTGGAATAAGGAATTGTCTCAGTTATCTATTGTTGCATAACACAACTTAGCAATTTAAAACAACACACATTTATTTCCCCACAGTTTCTGGGGTGAGTAATGGAGGCATAGTTTAACCAGTTCTTCTCCTTCATGACCTATCACGAATATCTTTAACTGAGATGTCCATCCAGGGCTGTGGTTTCATCTCAAGGCTCAACTGGGGAAGAGCCTGCTCCCAAGTTCACTCTATGATAATTAACAGAATGTAGTTCTGCCATGGCTGTTGGACTGAGGGCTGCAGTTCCTTGCTGGTCATTGGTTGGTGGTGACCCTCAACATCTTGTCATGTGGACCTCTCCAGTTCACTTCATCAGACGAAGTTCAGGAGAAGAGGAGGCAGAAGAGAGAAAGAAAGAGAGAACGAGAGAGAGAGAGAGCTAGCAAGATGGAAGTCACAGTCTTTGTAACCTAATCATGACAGTAACATTCCACCACTTCTACCATATTTTATTGGTTAGAAGCAATCACTAGATCCAGCCCACACTCAGGGGGAGGAGATTACACAAGGGCATGAACACCAGGAGGTGAGGGTCAGGGAGCCCGTGTCAGAAGCTGCCGATTAGAGAGCTCAAACAGACAGTATTTGTTGACTGAACTCAAGAGCCAGCTGCTTTGGACCAAAGTGTGCAAGGAGGAGAGGCTGATGTTTAGGGCTCCGACTAGCTCTGCCCCTAGGGCAAGTCCCTTTAAACCTTCTTGGGCCTTAGTGTCCACTCTTATAAAATGAGTAGCCTGGATTAGGAGATGATTGTCTTCCAGCCAGCCCGCTGGAGTTCTAGGTTCTTTGAATTTAAAAGATAGTAACTCAACGGAGCTGATGAAGTGATTTTCTCTGCGCTCTTGGGAATCTGCCAAGTACAAGCTCATGCGAATCCCTTCCAGGCTCCCAGACTGACTGAGGTGAGGGGCAGATCAC